GAGTGATAATCAATTATTACAGAGTTGTTTTGATAAAAATGAACTTTCAGAGGATGGATTATATGTTGGCTATCTTGGACTCTAATTTTACAAACTTAACAAGACAAAATAGAGTTATTACATATAAATACAGATGATTATAAGTTTTTAAGTCCTCTATTATTGAATCATCATCAAAATCTTCAAGCTTCATATCTTTGTATGTTAAACACTTTATCACAAAGCTGACTTATACTGGGAAGATTGTGCTTTAATCCATCAACAAGGAGCACATCCTTTATCTCCAAAGTATTTGAACCACTAATGTTTCCAGTTCCAAGGATTTTGCCTTTGTTGTTGTCTCCATAAGTTACATATCCTTGTTCTTTCTTATTGAAACTTACAAATTTCTTTTTATCATCGGTCATGTATCTTGAACATCCACTGTCAAGATACTACATTGACTTCTTGGATTTAGAAATTTCCTACAAAACAAGAACACAAAGATCTTAGGTCCCCATAACTTTTGGGTCCTTAGGGTTAGATATAATCAAATTATTTAACTATGGGTACCCAAATATATTTTCCTTTAGGAACACCAAAATGCTTAATCCTACATTTATTAGAAGTATGTCCTTGTTTCATACAATAAAAACATGCATTTGGGGATTTTATTTTTGAAAAAGATTCAACTATATTTTGAGGAGGTACAGTTCCTTTCACAACCCATACTCTACGGGTTCTTTGATTTTTATTTTTTTTCAAAGGAACATGACTATAAACTTTAGTTTTTACAAACTTTTGATTTTCATCCTTTTTACAATCAACCATATTTTTCGTAGCTTTTTCTAATAAATGCTCAAGTAAGCAAATGTCAAATTCATAGATCTTACATGATGCAAATTCAATTTGTTCATCTTCTTTTTCTTTTAAAGACACAATTTTCGTTTTTAAAGATTCTACTTCCTTTTTTTATTTATTCAAACTATTTTTCAATGTTTTATTGTCAGATTTCAAATGTTTAAAAGCAGTAAGCAGTTCTTGATATGCATTATGTAATTCATCATAATTATTTTCATTGTCACTAGAAGAACAATCAGAATCACTTACCTCATAGTCGGAAGAGTAATTATTATTAGCCATCAAGCAAATGTTTGCTTCAACATCTGAATCACTTGACTTCGAACTAGAGTTACTTTCTTCCCATGTAATGTAAGCTTTATTTTTAAAGGATTTTCTTTCTTTTGAATCATCACCTCTTTTGTTGTTAGGACAATCTGCTTTCACATGCCATCTTTCACCACATCCATAGCATTTGAAGATTGATGAAGATCCTTCTTTTTCTTTTCTCTTTCTTTTGAACGGTTCTTTTTCTTTTGATTTCATGAACTTAGTGAACTTTTTTATCATGAGACTTAAGTTCTCATCTTCTTCACTTTCAGAATCTTCATCTTCCTTCTTATTCTTGCTTTTTGAGACCTCAGTTTTAAAAGCTAAGTTCCTCTTGTTATTTTGACATTCCTCATCATTTAACCTTCTTAATTCAAGCTCGTGCTCCCTCAATTTTCCAAAGAGAGCTGCCATTGTCATAGTTGCAAGATTTTGTGACTTCGTGATGGCAGTCACCTTAGGTTGTCATTTCCTGTCCAAAGATTTTAAGATTTTAACATTTAATTCATCAGTATCAAAATTCTTACCAAGCCTAGAGAGATGGTTGACAATGTGTGTGAAATGCTTTTGGACATCAAAGATCGTTTCTCCTTATTGCATTTAAAAAATTTAATATTCTTGAATCAAAGAATTTTTTCTTGCTCTTTTCACATCGTCGGTTCCTTCATGAGTCACTCTTAGTATTTCCCACATCTCTTGAGCACTTTTACATACTAATATCCTATAAAACTCATCAAGGGTCAAAGCAGATGAAATAATGTTTCTAGCCCTAACATCATATTGAGCCTTTCTATTTTTCTCAGCAGTCCATCTAGAAAATGGTTTTGGTTCCTCTACTTCATTTACAATCATTTTAGGAATAAAATTATCATTTACAACAACTTCCCAAATACTCCTGTCAACAGACTCCAAAAATATTTGCATCTTAACTTTCCTGAAAGGATAATTTTGACCAGCAAAAAGTAGAGGTCTATTAATAGAGGCACCCTCAACAAAAGTTTGGTTTTGTCCGGCCATTTTTTAAAATTTGAAAAACTATCAAAGCAAGCTCTAATACCACTTGTTGGAATCGCACAGCGGAATATTTGCATTAGGACAAAAACCAAGAGAGGGGTGAATTGGTTTCTTATAAAAACTATCTCTTTTAAAAATGTTTTGCAGGATTTTACCGATTAAATATAGTACTTGAAAAGTAAAGAGATAAGGAAAGAAGATTACACAAGTATTTATATTGGTTCAGCTCAAAAGACCTTACGTCCAGTTGTTAATTACTCTAAAAGAGGATTAGCTCAGTCACTAAAATAATAGTTCAACAGATAAACATATTACAAATAGTAAATATTAGAAAACACCTCTCTTGAGTCACACAAGAGATGAAAACCTCCTTTGAATCCACAAAGGATGAAGACAACTTTTCTAGAGACAGCACAACACTCAATCCACTAAGAAACCCACATAGTGATTCTTATCACTTCTAGCCCACACTAGGTTTTGAAAGCCATTTTTTCTTCCCTACTCAAAGTTCTCTTAACAATCACAACTCTTAACTTTTTGAGTATGAAAAAGTTTTGTCCCTTTGTAAACAGCATGAGAGTCCTTTAAATAGAATTTTAGGGTTTTCGAAAATTAGGTCTGAAATTTGAAATTCAAATTCATAACTGACACAGATAATCGATTATCATTAGTGATAATCGATTATCATAGAGCCAATAAAAGAAAATCAAGTTTGTCCAAGATAATCGATTATCCCGAGTGATAATCGATTATTCCAAAGCCAATTTCGAATTTAAACCCATAACAGTCATAGATAATCGATTATTCTAGAGCCACTTTAAGAAAACTAAAGTTCACCCAGGATAATCGATTATCCTGAGTGATAATCGATTATTCCAGTGAGACTTTGATAAGAATGAAACTTTTATGGACAGACTAAGTGTTGGCTATCATGGACTCTATTTTTACAGACTCAAGATGGCAAAAAGAGTTACTACAAGCAATTTTAAATGAATATAAGTCTTCTAATCTTGAAGTCTTTTGTTCTTGAATCATCATCAAAATCTTTAGTCATCATATCCTTGTATTTTCAACATACCAGTCAGAAATTTTTACAATTTTTTTTGTTAGGAATGTTTTTAATAAAAAAAATCACTACACCCTTTCAAGTTCATTTTTCTAATTTTTATATTTGTTTTGACTAATAATTTTAAATTTTAGGAATTTAGTTTTCGTAGTTGCACTAGTCAGAAATTTCTACAAGTTTTTTGTTTGAGAATATTTTTATGAAAAATTTTCAATGTACTCTTTCCAATTTCGTTTTTAAAATTTTTCGGGTAGTTTTTAGTAATATTATGACAATTTAGGAATTTAGTTTTTATATTTAGACCAGTAAGAAATTTTTCAACTTTTTGTGTTGGAAAATTTATTTAATTAAAAATTCTTCTACACTTATTAAAGCTCTTGATTCATTTTCTAGTAGTTTTGAATAATATTCTTATATGTTAGAAATTTAGTTTTCGTAGTTACACTAGTTAGAAAATTCTGCAATTTTCTTGTTAGAAATTTCTTTAATAAAAATATTCACTACACACTTTCAAGCTCATTTTTTTCTAATTGTTTTGAGTAATATTTTTAAAATTTTTGGAATTTAGTTTTCGTAGTTACACCAGTAAAAAATTTCTATAAGTTGTGTTTTGGGAATTTTTTTAATAAAAATTTCCAGTGTAGTCTTCTAAGCTCTTTTTTATTTTTATAGACATTTGGAGTAATATTCTTACCTTACACCAATCAGAAAATTTAATAATTTTTTTTGTTGGAAATTTTTCTACAAAATAAATTCACTGCAATCTTTCAAGTTCATTTTTTTATTTTTCTATTTGTTTTGACAAATAATTTTACATTTTAGGAATTTAGTTTTTGTAGTTACACCAGTAAAAAAATTCTACAAGTTTTTTTTGACCAATTTTTTTAATAAAAAGTTTCAGTGCAGCCTTCCAAGCTCTTTTTTATTTTTCTAGAAGTTTGGAGTAATATTCTTACCTTACACCAATCAGAAATTTCAATAAATGTTTTTTGGTTGGAATATTTCAATAAAAAAAATTTACTACACTCTTTCAAGTTCATTTTTTTATTTTTATATTTGTTTTTACTAATAATTTTTTATTTTAGGAATTTAGTTTTCATAGTTATACCGGTAAGAAATTTCAACAATTTTTTTTTGTTAGGAAATACTTTTATTAAAAATTTCCGAGTGCACTATTTCAAACTCATATTTTTTATTTTTCTAGTAGTTTTTAGTAATATTCTTACAATTTAGGAATTTAGTTTTGTATTTAGAGCAGTAAGAATTTTTTACAATTTTTTGTGTTAGGGAATTTATTTAAATAAAAACTCCTGTACACTTATTAAAAATCTCTTGATTCATTTTTGTAGTAGTTTTGAGTAATATTTTTAAATTTTAGAAATTTAGTTTCAGTAGTTACACCGATCAGAAATTTCTGCAATTTTTTTTGTTGGGAATTTGTTTAATAAAAATATTCACTACACTCTTTCAAGCTCATTTTTTTTCTAATTGTTTTGACTAATATTTTTATATTTTTAGGAATTTAGTTTTCGTAGTTACACCAATAAGAAATTTTAGCAAGTTTTTCTGTTTGAGAATTTTTTTTAATAAAAATTTCAACTATAGTCTTTCAAGCTCATTTTTTTTTATTTTTTAGTTGTTTCGAGTAATATTCTTATATTTTAGGAATTTAGTTCTCCATCTTTACTTTTGTCGTCATCCTTAATTTCTTCTCCTTTCGTAACTTCTTCTCCATCCATAATAATTTCTCCCTCATTAACTTCTTTCCATCTCAAACTTCTTCCCCATCCATAGTTTCGTCTTTACCCTTAACTTCTTCTCCATCCAAAACTTCATTTTCTTCCTTACCTTCTTCTCCTTCCTTCACTTCTTCCACATTCCAAACTATTTCCCCATCCTTAACTTCTTCTCCTTCCCTAACTTTTTCTTCATTCTTAACTTTTTCTCCTTCCCTAACTTCTTCTCCATCCTTAACTTATGCTTCCTTAACTTCATCTACATCCCAAATTTCTTCTCAATCCTTAACTATAATTTCCTATCCATCCAAAAGTTCTTCTCATTCCTTAACCTCTTCCTTCTTAATTTCTTCTCCATACTTAGATTCTTCTCCATTCCAAACCTCTTCTTCATCCCAAACTTCTTCCTCATCCATACTTTCTTCTTTATCCTTAACTTCTTCTCCATCCAAAACTTCTTCTTCCTTAACTTCTTCTCCATCCAAAACTTCTTCTTCCTTAACTTCTTCTCCTTCCTAAACTTCTTCTTCCTTAATTTCTTCTCCATACTTGGATTTTTCTCCATTCCAAACTTCTCCTCCATCCCAAACATCTTCTTCATCCTTAACTTCTTTTCCTTCTTTAACTTCTTCTTCTCTTTCCCTAACTTCTTCTCCTTTCTTAATTTTTTCACCTTCCCTAACTTCTTCTCCTTCCTTAATTTTTTCACCTTCCCTAACTTCTTCTCCATCCATAACTTCCTCTCCATCCTTACTTACTTTGTCATCCCTAATTTCTTCTCCTTCCCTAACTTCTTCTCCATCCGTAATCATTTCTCCCTCCTTAACTTCTTCTCCATCCCAAACTTCTTCCCCATCCATAGTTTCTTCTTTACCTTTAACTTCTTCTCCATCCAAAACTTCTTCTTCTTCCTTAACCTCTTCTCCTTCCTTCACTTCTTCTCCATCCCAAACTATTTCTCCATCCTTAAATTCTGCTCCTTCCCTAACTTTTTCTTCATTCTTAACTTTTTCTACTTCCCTAATTTCTTCTCCATGCTTAACTTCTTCTGCTTCCTTAACTTCATCTACATCCCAAATTTCTTCTCCATCCTTAACTATAATTTTCTATCCATCCAAAAGTTAATCTCCTTCCTCAACTTCTTCCTCCTTCATTTCTTCTCCATACTTATATTCTTCTCCATCCCAAACTTCTTCCTCATCCATACTCTCTTCTTTATCCTTAACTTCTTCTCCATCTAAAACTTATTCTTCTTCCTTAACTTCTTCTCCTTCCTAAACTTCTTCTTCCTTAATTTGTTCTCCATACTTTGATTCTTCTCCACTCCAAACTTCTCCTCCATTCCAAACTTCTTCTCCATCCTTAACTTCATCTCCTTCCTTAATTTCTTCTCCTTCTTTAACTTCTTCTTCTCTTTCCCTAACTTCTTCTCTTTCCCTAACTTCTTCTCCTTCCCTAACTTCTTCTTCATCCTTACTTTTTTCGTCATTCCTAATTTCTTTTCCTTCCCTAACTTCTTCTCCATCCATAATCATTTCTCCATCCCAAACTTCTTCTCCATCCCTAGTTTCTTCTTTACCCTTAACTTCTTCTCCATCCAAACTTCATCTTCTTCCTTAACTTCTTCTCCTTCCCTCACTTCTTCCCCATCCCAAACTATTTTTCCATTCTTAACTTCTTCTCCTTCCCTAACTTTTTCATCATTTTTAACTTTTTCTCCTTCCCTAACTTCTTCTCCATCTTTAAATACTTCTGCTTCCTTAACTTTATCTACATCCCAAATTTCTTCTCCATCCTTAACTATAATTTCCTTAAGTTCTTCCTCCTTAATTTCTTTTCCATACTTAGATTCTTCTCCATTCTAAACTTCTTCTCTATCCCAAACTTCTTCCTCATTCATACTTTCTTCTTTATTCTTAAGTTCTTCTCCATCGAAAACTTCTTCTTCTTCTTTAACTTCTTCTCCTTCATAAACTTCTTATTCCTTCATTTCTTCTCCATACGTCGATTCTTCTTCATTCCAAACTTCTCCTCCATCCCAAACTTCTTCTCCATCCTTAATTTGTTCTCCTTCTTTTAACTTCTTCTTCAGTTTCCCTAACTTCTTCTCCTTCCTTAATTTCTTCTTCTTCCCTAACTTCTTCTCCATCCATAACTTCTTCCCATTCCTTACTTTCTTTGTCATCTCTAATTTCTTCTCTTCCCTAACTTCTTCTACATCCATAATCATTTCACCCTCTTTAACTTTTTCTCCATCCCAAACTTCTTCCCCATCCATAGTTTCTTATTTACCCTTAACTTCTTCTCAATCCAAAACATCATCTCCTTCCTTAACTTCTTCTCCTTCCTTCACTTCTTCCCCATCCCAAACTATTTCTCCATCCTTAACTTCTCCTCCTTCCCTAACTTTTTTTTCATTCTTAACTTTTTCTCCTTCCCTAACTTCTTCTCCATCCTTAACTTCTTCTACTTCCTTAACTTCATCAACATCCCAAATTTCTTCTCCCTCCTTAACTATAATTTCCTATCCATCCACAAGTTCTTCTCCTTCCTTAACTTCTTCCTCCTTAATTTCTTCTCCATACTTAGATTCTTCTCCATTCCAAACTTCTTCTTCATCCCAAAATTCTTCCCCATCCATACTTTCTTCTTTATCCTTAGCTTCTTCTCCATCTAAAACTTCTTCTTCTTCCTTAACTTCTTCTACTTCCTAAACTTCATCTTCCTTAATTTCTTCTCCATACTTCGATTCTTCTCCATTCCAAACTTCTCCCCCATCCCAAACTTCTTCCCCGTCCTTACTTTCTTCGCCATCTCTAATTTCTTCTCTTCCCTAACTTCTTCTCCATCCATAATCATTTCACCCTCCTTAACTTCTTCTCCATCCCAAAATTCTTCCCCATCCATAGTTTCTTATTTACCATTAACTTCTTCTCCATCCAAAACATCATCTTCTTCCTTAATTCTTCTCCTTCCTTCACTTCTTCCCCATCCCAAACTATTTCTCCATCTTTAACTTCTTCTCCTTCTCTAACTTTTTCTTCATTCTTAACTTTTTCTCTTTCCCTAACTTCTTCTCCATCCTTAACTTCTTCTGCTTCCTTAACTTCATCGACATCCCAAATTTCTTCTCCATCCTTAACTATAATTTCCTATCCATCCAAAAGTTCTTCTCCTTCCTTAACTTCTTCCTCCTTAATTTCTTCTCCATACTTAGACTCTTCTCCATTCCAAACTTCTTCTCCATCCCAAACTTCTTCCCCATCCATACTTTCTTCTTTATCCTTAACTTCTTCTCCATCTAAAACTTCTTCTTCTTCCTTAACTTCTTCTACTTCCTAAACTTCTTCTTCATTAATTTCTTCTCCATACTTCGATTTTTCTCCATTCCAAACTTCTCCTCCATCCCAAACTTCTTCTCCATCCTTAACTTCGTCTCCATTCTTAACTTATTCTCCTTATTTAACTTCTTCTCTTTCCCTAACTTCTTCTTGTTCCATGATTTTTTCTCCTACCCTAACTTCTTCACCGTCCATAACTTCTTCTCCATCCTTACTTTCTTCGGCATCCCTAATTTCATCTCCTTTCCTAATTTCTTATCCATCCATAATCATTTCTCCCTCCTTAACTTCTTCTCCATCCCAAACTTCTTCCCCATCCATAGTTTCTTCTTTACCCTTAATTTCTTATCCATCCAAAACTTCATCTTCTTCCTTAATTTCTTCTCCTTCCATCACTTCTTCCCCATCCCAAACTATTTCTCCATCCTTAACTTCTTCTCCTTCCCTAACTTTTTCTTCATTCTTAACTTTTTCTCCTTCCCTAACTTCTTCTTCATCGTTAACTTCTTCTATAATTTCCTATCCCTCCAAAAGTTCTTCTCCTTCCTTAACTTCGTCCTCCTTAATTTCTTCTCCATGCTTAGATTCTTCTCCATTCCAAACTATTTCTCCATCCCAAACTTCTTCCCCATCCATACTTTCTTCTTTATCCTTAACTTCTTCTCCATCCAAAACTTCTTCTTCCTTAACTTCTTCTCCTTCCTAAACTTCTTCTTCCTTAATTTCTTCTCCATAATTCAATTCTTTTCCTCCATCCCAAACTTCTTCTCCTTCTTTAACTTCTTCTTCTCTTTCCCTAACTTCTTCTCTTTCCTTAATTTCTTTTCCTTCCCTAACTTCTTCTCTGTCCATAACTTCTTCTCCATCCTTACTTTCTTCGTCATCCCTAATTTCTTCTTGTCGCCGCCGTCCATTCTGACGTCTTGGGACATCTTGAACGTTTATGCGAGCGGTTATGATATGATGGTTTAGACTCATCTTTTTGTAAAAATATGATTATTTCTTTCTAGGTGCTCAACAACTGAACTAACCTCTGATAAAAGTAAGGTTTTCATAAATAGGGTTCTATGGAGTCGTCACTAATATTTTTACCATAAACATTGGAAAAGGATAAAAAAGGCGTTGATTTTAAGAAAAATCAAACTTGGTCATTATAACCAAAGTTAGGTAAGGGAGTTAGTTATGTGTGGGGAAGGTATTAGCACCCCCACAATGGCCCTTTCGGGTTCCCTATGACGGATTAATTCATAAAATAAATATTAAGAGAAATTACGCTATTACCCTATTTTATTCTACAGTATTAAAATGATTATCTATATGATCCTATTTTTCTATTGCACATAGAAAGCAATAAATAAAGCAATAAAAGAGAAAAGTAGTGAAAAGACCCTCCGAAGCAAGTTTTATTACAAATCTTCAACTTTGAGGATGCTTTTTGGCTATCCTCCTGCACTACAAGGACTCTCCTCTCCCGAATACAAGAAAACAATTTTAGACTATCGAATGTCGGATATCTCGAAAGAGATTTCCTTAACCAATTGTTACCTTATAAGAAATCGGAAAGATCATTCGAGAACTAGAAGTATATGAGAGAGTAGAGAGAGGTGAAATTGTTTTGAAAAAGCTTCAAATGGACCCCTATTTATAGTTTTTCGCTGCCAGGACTCCGGGACGGTCGTCTCAGCCTCAGAAAGGTGGGACGGTCGTCTTAGCTGCTTGGGATGGCTGTCTGGCCCTTGGGACGACCGTCTCAGGTGAGAAAATGAGTTGGGACATGCGTCTAGCCCTTGGGATGCGCATCTCAGCCACTTGGGATGGTTGTGTCGAGTGTTTTCTTCAAATTTTGTGTTTTATTGCTTCAGAAAAGCTCTCCTTTCTTCAGAAGGAAGCCGGTTGATGCTGTTAGATGCCCACCGAAGCTTTACCCATCTTCAGAGCGGAAGTCTTCTGATCTTTATTGAGAGGTCGGACAAGATTTGGGGTCTACAGCTGCTCCCCCTCACCTGCCTAACTGTCTGTTTGGCTTAATATGCCTACGAGATCAATTGGCAGGTGAAGGAGTTAACCCTCTTGCCCAGTCATCCTTTGGATGCTCCTTTACTGAAGTTGTTGATCCTCTGGATGATGAATGGTTTGATAGGTACAAACCCCTATCTGGTTTGATGAGAATGAACCCTCATCTGGTCCGAACCCCTTTCTGTAAGGCTCTTGTGAGTACAAACCCCCACCAGGTTTGAGTCCCCTTTTGTAAGACTCTTGTGAATACCAACTCCCACCAGGTCCGAACCCCCTTCTGTAAGGTTCTTGTGAGTACAAACCCCCACCAGGTCTGAGTCCCCTTCTATAAGACTCTTGTGAGTACCAACCCCCACCAGGTCCGAGTCCCCTTCTGTAAGACTGTTGTGAGTACCAACCCCCAACAGGTCTGAGTCCCTTTCTGTAAGACTCTTGTGAGTACCAACCTCCACCAGGTCCGAGTGTCCTTCTATAAGACTCTTGTGAGTACAAACCCCCCACCAGGTTGAAGCCGACGAGCCCTCTTTTGTAAGACTCTGCCTGTTTGAGGAATCCCCTTCTGTAAGACCCTCATGGATGATAAGCCCCCTTTTGTAAGGCTTATCAGGTGCGAACCCCCTTCTGTAAGGTTTTGTCGGTTGATGACCTTGAAACCCCAGGATGCTCCTTTTGGTAGTCGATCTTGTGGCTGATGAGTACGAACCCTTATCTAGTTCTAAGTCCTTTATTCTTGACTGAAAATGTGCTGGCGGCTTACTATTTCTAGTCATGCGCCAACTCCATGGGAAGTAGTTATTTGAGAATTTTTTTTTTTTTTATGGGTGGTCATCCGGCTTGCCGGGAATTTTTTGTTTTTGGCTTTTTTTTGATAGCCACCCTCCCTTGGTAATCACTATTTGAGCAAAACCATGAGTATCTATGTAATATGAATACACACCTCTAGTAGGATCTTCTGTGTCTCTCCAATATGTCAAAGATGTAAAGCTACCATTTACAATGCATCTTCGAAGTCTAATCCCAAGCAACAAATTGTCCCCAGGAAGATCAAAACTCTGCCATAAAAGATTCTCTTGGTTGCTTTCTTCTTTCACAACAAGGTTTCTAGTCTCCAAAAGCTGCATAATAGGCTCTTTGCAGTTATTGATGTATTGGAAGACTAGATTATGGCCCCTGAACCATTCAAAATAAAAATATTTCCTCCATCACTGACATTCAAAACTCCTGAATAGTTTCCAACTGGAGTATCTCTATTAGCTATCTATTAGGTATTTTCGAGGGGAAGGAGATTCTCACAAGACCTGAATAAACTATAAGAGAACATGACTCTCATCCGTTGGCAATAAATTATGGATCTTTCATACACTACAAGAAAATCGCATATTTTCGATGAATTTGTAGTCGTCGAAAAATGAGTCATTACCGGCAGAAATTATAGATAGATATAAAGTATTTGTGGAATTTGGTCTTACTGACGGATATATCCGTCGGTAAAATAATAATTAGTTACCGACGAATATATTTATCGGTAAATTCGTCGGTAAATTAATAATTAATTACAAATGGATATATCCGTTGATAAATTCGTCGGTAAATTAACAATTATTTACCGACGATTATTTCCATCGATGAATTCATCGGCAAATTAACAATTAGTTACCGACGGATATATCCGTCGGTAAATTAACAATTAATTAACGACGAATATATCTGTTGGTAAATTTGTCGATAAATTAACAATTATTTACCGACAGATATTTCCGTCGGTAAATTCATCGGCATTAACAATTAGTTATTGATCGGATATATCCGTTAGTAAAATTATATAAAAATTACTTAATATATTCTAATAAATTAATTATTCACCTAATTATAAAATTAAATTTTTTTATTTAATAATTTAATTTAATCATAATTAGATTAATTTATAATAATTTATTAAATTAAATAATTTTAAAAAATAAATATTTAATTATATATAAATATATTTGTATTTATATATTTACATGAATATATATTCATTTGTATATAAATATAATTTATTTGTAAATTATTATAAAAATATTTAGTAGCTTAGTGGTTAGAGTATCACTCTCCAACCCTAAGGTAATCTACTTATTGTAATGTTATGTAGTGAACTTTTCCAATTTACTTCAAATTTACACTTTAATTCTTAACAAATTCTGTTAACAGCAAATTTGCACCTAGTAAACGCAATAATTTATAAGTAAATGTTCAACGGTATAATATATTACGAAAATTGAGTTATTATAATTATGAAAAGTCAAACCAAATTAATTAAATGTCAAGACCATTATATTATTAAGAAATTCACGTGAATCATTTCTTAGATTATATTTTTTTATAGAATACAAGTAGTTTCTTATTAATGATAACTCCTACTTCCACGGATAAAAATATGTATATGGTATATGGTATATTTTGAAGAGAATATATAATTATGTTAAAAATTAATTATTATATGAATAACTAATTTTCGTTTTCAAATTCAATTTTTTAAAAATTGTTTGAAACTTTTGAGCTCTGAATTTCATCTTTACTCAATTTTGAAATACCTTTATAACTCATTTTGAAAATCAAGAAAAAAAATTGTAAATTAATTTTGTTTTAAAAATATTTAAAAATATTTTTATTAAATTCATATTTATTATATTACATTGTAGGAGTTCATCACATATTAGTTTATATTTTTATTTTTATTTTTCGTAAAGACTATAAATATTTTTCATTTAAGTCTATCAAGAAATTAGAAATTTGGAGCAAAATGAGTGTTGCAACAATAAACATAAAATTTGAAACTGAATCCTTGGATGAGTGAGTTCAAGGATTAAGTAAACATAGTCATGTCATCTGACAATAACTTTTCTGAAAATAACTGCAAAAATTAAGTGACTCAAAAAGGGTCAAGTCACTTGGTCAGAGTCTCACTAAGCCCCTGTTTGTTTGAACTGATTTGCGACGAAATACTGTTGACGAAGACAGAAACACGAGATTCACCCACATTTGGTTGAACAGATTTGCGAAGAAATGCAGGCGAGGAAAAGGGGGAGAGAGGAGAGAGACTTTCTTCGCTAATCTGCGAAGAAAAGCGAAGAAAAGAGACGAAAGTCTGCTAAATCTCTAACTTACCCTCTTCCATATGATAGCGGTTAAATCTTAACCGCTATTATAATAGCACTTGTAATAGCGGTTAAAACTTAACCGCTATTATATATCACTTCTAATAACGGTTAAAACATAACCGCTATTATATATCGCTTCTAATAGCGGTTAAATCTTAACCGCTATTATATATCACTTAAGATAGCGGTTAAAGAAGAATCGCTATTATATCCTCCAATTATGATCGATCATTTTTTAAATTTAATCGATCAGAATCATCTTTCGCTCGAGCGACAAATAGTCGCTCAAGCGAAACACAACCCGAGACTGAAGAAATTAAAATATGGTTGTATATGATAGCGGTTCCATTGGAACCGCTATCTAATATACACTTTAGATAGCGGTTCCACTGGAACCGCTATCTAATATACACTTTAGATAGCGGTTAAAGAGGAACCGCTATTATATCCTCTAATTATGATCGATCATTTTTTAAATCTAATCGATCAGAGTCATATTTCGCTCGAGCGACAAATAGTCGCTCAAGCGAAACACAACCCGAGACTGAAGAAATTAAATTATGGTTGTATATGATAGCGGTTCCACTGGAACCGCTATCTAATATACACTTTAGATAGCGGTTACAGAGGAACCGCTATTATATCCTCCAATTATGATCGATCATTTCAAATTATGATCGATCAGGATCGTTTTTCGCTCGAGCGAGATATAGTCGCTCGAGCGAAATGCAACCCGAGACTGAATCTTAAAATATTTTTTTGAATATTATGTTTTTTAATTTGCTATTAGAGAAAACCTTTCAGAATTCAAAATGTTAAATAATTTTAAATATTAAAATTAACTTTATCAAAAATTAGGGAAACAAAATTTATCCAAAAGAGTTCAAAATGTATAAGAGTATTCTCAATTTTGAGTTTAATTATATTATTAATTCTTAAAGTAGAAAATTATATTGTAGTTATTTTATCTCAAGTTAATGTGATGAGACGATCATCAACATTTCAACATTCGGAGTCAGATATATGGGACATCTTCGTCTCTCCCGAGTTGTTCATGTTCTTGAGTGGAAGTGATTGAATGATCTGAACTGGAGGACTTGATCGCAAAAGATGAATAACATTATAATTATTTATTTGAAGAGCATTAGTGTACATAGGTTTATAATTTTAGTAATGTTTCATTTAATTATTATTCTATTTTCACTATATTTTATATTTGTTTTAAATAATAATGTACAATTATATTATTAGTTTTCATAATTATTTGTTATTATCAATCAATATTAATTATTATTTTATATTTTATAATTATTTAATTATTAGTCAAATAATTTATTTAATATATCAACATTATTTGAATATGGATATGCAATGTACATAATTTTGTAATTGTTTATTTATATAATTTTTAATAACTATCTAAAAAAAGTTAATTTTTTAAATTTGTTTCCAATTACAAACACTTTTAATTTTGTTTTTTCTTTTAAATATATAATCAATGTTAAAATATGGATAATTAATTAAAAATTTATATTTATAATCATTTGAACCTTATTTTATACAAAGGGTAAAATGGTAATTTTCTTAAATAATCAACATAAAATTATAATTTTTATATCTCATATCAATCAAATCATTCACAATTTCCCATAAACTTTTCTTTCACTTTTTAATCATCTCCATTTCTCTTCAAATCCCTCCTTTTCCACTCTCTCAATTCCACTCTCTCAAATCACTCCAACCAAACAAAGCCTAATAGATTAGTTTTGTTACCTATCTCTTTCTACAATACTAACACGAATATTACAAAAGTGCACATCAAATAAACAACAATAGTTCATGCACGCACATTCAAAACTAAACATATTTAGTAATAATCCTGAAACTGTACAAACACCAAAAGTATGGTGTTAATTTTAATTGATTTAGGTTTACTATCTTGCCTCTAAGGTGATGGACATTTCATTTGAGCTGAATTCACACTTGCTGGATGAAGAAAAATCTTCATGGTGTGGATAAAACGCAGGCTGCTTGGGCCTGGGCAATGGCCTCTCACCATTCAGCATTAGCACCACACTTGACATGTTGGGCCTGTCTTCTGGTCTCTCTTGAACACATAAGAGTCCTACATGAACAATTTTCAACACTTCACTTTCTATGACTGAGTCGTCTAGTGTTTCATCAATCAGCTCCAAAGGCCTCCCTTCACTCCACAATCTCCATGCCTGGACAAAAATTAAAACTAATCAGTGAGGTTGAGTTCAATCTATATACTAAATGATGAAATCACTATTCACTATTCACATTTTATGCTTACATGCCCAATAAGGTTAAGTTGATTGAGTGGATCAAGAAATTTTGTGTTCTTCCTCCCACTAACTATCTCTAGTACAATAACACCAAAGCTGAAGACATCTGATTTCACTGAAAAATATCCATACACTGCATACTCAGGAGGCATGTAACCACTGCAAGACAACAAGCGTAACATGAATTTAGATAAACAAAAAGTACACAACATACTGACATAATTAAAGTATTAAAGCATGTTTAAGCATGCTTACTGAGTTCCGACAACCCTTTTTGTATTGGCTTTAGTGTGATCACCAACAAGCATTCTTGCTAATCCAAAGTCTGATATCTTTGGATTCATGTTATTATCAAGAAGAATATTGCTTGCTTTGATATCTCTGTGAATGATCCTTAGTCTAGAATCATGATGAAGATAGAGAAGTCCTCTAGCAATGCCACTTATAATTTGGAAGCGTTTGTTCCAATCCAATAATTTCTTTCTTGTGGTATCTGCACATTGTTGCCTAATTTATGTTAGCTGATAATAAAATGACTTTGGCAGAATACAAAAATAATCTGTATGAGAAAAAGCCTCAGACCAAAAATGTAAAGATCCAAGCTCCTATTAGGCATGAATTCATAGATCAAGATTCTCTCCTCGTCTTGAACACAACAACCTAGAATCTTTACAAGATTGCGGTGCTGAAGATTGGCAATCAACACAACTTCATTTCTGAACTCGTCTAATCCTTGTCCAGAAGTTTTGGAAAGCCTCTTAACAGCTATCTCTAGTCCATTTGCCAGAACACCCTGATAAATAAATATGGACAGATATTCAAAATATGTTGAGTAAGTGTACCATTGGTGTAGGATATAACCATGCGTTACCTTGTAAACTGGTCCAAATCCACCTTCTCCCAATATGTTACTGGTACAGAAGTTACGAGTGGCATTATCAATGGTTGATAAATCAAGGGTTGGCAAATCAATATCTTTCTTCCCGTGTTTCATAGTGTGAGATATCTGGTCGATTGTATTTGTCTTTCCTGATATAAAAGCAGCAAATTGTAAACAAGGGACAGTCCATCAGTTGTTTTATGATTAAAATATACTTTTGGTCTCTTATTTTAGTTTTTTTTTTTTTTTTTGCAGTTTTGTCCTTAAGGTTTTGGTCTCTAAAAGTGTCTGTTAGTCCAAGTTGATGTTTATATCAGTTCAACATACTGACTTAGCGTGGTAAAGAGTCAAAGATGCCACATCGACCAAATTTAGTACAAAAAAACTAATGGAAAAACCATTTTAGTCTGATAAAAACACTTAAAACACTAAACTGGAACTTTTAAACTTAAAGACCAAATTTAAACCAAAATATAAGATGACGAACCAAATCTGTATGTTAGCCTTGTTTTATTATGGTGGTTGGCAATTCTTGCAGAGCACATTACATAAAAATTCACCTAATCTAGAAGTTTACCTTGCTTCTCAAGTTTTTTCCGTATGTATATGACTGATCCTAATATTATGACTATGATGAACGTAGCAATTGCTGTCAAAATCACAACAAGCTTCTTGTTAATGTGCCTTTTATGCCAAGTATTGTCTGTTAAAGAAGAGTAATATTAGAAAACACAATAAGCAGTATGGGGAAGAATAGTAATATGAACAAGTTCAGTGGGTTTCATTGTACGCAAGTGTTTCCATACATAGCTAAGGTGCAATGGTGTAAAATCTGATGACATGTATAACATCTCATAATTGCAACAATCTTTACTTCATGCACAAGGTTGTTATGCAATGATCACACAAACCTGAGGGTTATGAACTATTTTTCTCTGTTTCAATGGAAAATTTAGAAGTACGAGTACCTATATCCGAAGCAGCAATTCGTATGTAAATGTCTTGTCCTTGGGAGATATGTTTTCCCATATCCACAATGTTACCAAACCAAAGTAGGCAGCCACTCCCTCCACCTCTCACATCTAAGTTTGTGTATGCTGTGCAAGAGCAGTTTTGCAAACACACTCTCTCACATTCAGCAAGGCTCATGCTTGTGTCAAACCAGGAGGAAGATGTGTCTGGCAATCTCATTCCCTCATACTTAACAAATCCATCTTCATTGTCGCAACTCAGATTCATTCTCCGAACACACCCATCAGACCAATCCAATGATCTCCACTTTTCTGTGAACTTGGGAAGAAAACCCTCCAAGCATTCACATATGGGGTTTCTATTAACATTGCAAACAGAATTTGAACCACACAAGGCATAGTTTTCACACTGTTCCCTGGGGCCTGAGGCAAACAGCTCCCAACTCTTTGTCCTCTCTGACCATGTGAAACGTTGATCGCTACCTGCTTGGTTGATCACAAACCTTGTAACAACAGAACGTTCCAAGAGTTCGTACTCATAATACACTTCCTCCTTGGTTAACACAAAATAGTAATTGAAGAACTTATGCAACAGTTGCCAAGGAACTCCTGAAAATTGATAACCATTCCACGAACCTGCTCTATACAACCAAGTCCCTCCCTTTGTAGTTACTCTCTGAGGAAAACCATGAGGATCAATATACAATGAAAATTCCCCCAGAGCAGGATCTTCTGTGTCCCTCCATGATGTCAGAGAACTATGTGCTCCTGTCACAAAACTGCTTTTGAGTTTCATCCCGGGAAGTAAAGTGTCACCAGGATAATCAAAGCTTTCCCACACAACCTTCACTGGGGCATTAGTACCACCATCTTTCACAACAAGGTTGCCAGAGTCCAAGAGCTTCACAATAGGCTTCTGAGCAGTGGTTGATGCATTGGATGACCAAACACTTGCACCAGTGCCATCAAGTACATCAAGATCCCCCTCATCACTGACTTTGAAAACCCCTGTGGAGTTATCCAATGGGGTGTTTCTGTTGGCCACCCAAACAATTGTTCTAGGTGATATATTCTTGTAACATATGCAAAAGTAATGTCTCTGGGAACTTCCAGTGCTAAAAAATCCTGCTTCAAAAGTTCCAGATGCTGAAACCAGGGTTTGATTGTGATGCAAGGGCTGATTTGGAGTGATACTGCTCAGTGCAGTGATGGTGGGTATGAAGGAAGAAAGTAAGAGAGAGCTCCACACTATCACCTCATAGCTATCCATATAATTTATTCTCTAACTTACGTATTGTAATTTGTATCAGCATCTACTTATTCAACTTATATTAGACGATGGTCTTGCCAAAAGCTCAGTGCTGCCTAAATTTTCAAAGAAGACTATGACTTCAATTCCACATATGAACGCGGGAGTCTTCATCTGCATTAGAAAATATTAGAAAAAAGTATCTTTATTTTTAGTGGTTGGAGCGACTTGCACTAATAATTTGACTTCATCACCCTCTGATTTCTGGTGTGGATGTAACACTCTTTTAACTGCTCCAACTCAACTGGGGTCATCCAACAATTTCTTCAAGCGAAAGACTTTGACATATCTGAAGCGTGGCTTGGTTTCAGATGCTTTTTTGCAGAAACATGTTGACACATCATCAAAACACTTTCTTAATATTCATAACAAATTACGAACTTTTGGGACCTAGAATAAATCATTAGTTGTAATAATTTACCACTATGTAATAAAATAATGTCTCTGCTCTAAAGAATGAAATAATAATATCTTGCTTCACTTTTTTAAAGTTATACTGAGTACTTTCTAGATTATCCTTAGTTTAATTATATTTTTTTCTGTTACTATTTAAATTCTTTTAAATATTTTATGATTTGTATATGTATATGTTACCTAAATTTAGAGAAAGAGAAAAAGCTTAGAGAGATTCAACTATAATCATGTGTTGCTTCTTTTCAAGGAGACAATTTTACTTGAATTGTATAAGATTATTATGAGTGCAAATCTTCTCTGTAATTGCATGTTGGGTCCAATCATGATTATATTATATATAATTGTATACTTGTATAAGCCAATAATAAATACACACATGCACACCCAGAAGCATATAAGACAGATTACAATCAAATAATGCAAGCATGACGACTTAAAGCACTAATATCTCCAATTTTAGATTAAAAAATTAATTCAAAATATCTGAGTTCTAAATCTCCACTTCTGATAGCATTTAGCCATAACAGAAGTCTTTGTTGGGAAATCATATAACAAGCCAATTACAAAACTTAACCCTGTACATAAATCTCTATTTTCTTACTATCATCAGAAATAAAGCCACCTCATAAAAGCTGTAGCTTTATAAGCTATATTGCTTCCAACCTCGCCTAAAATAAAGATTATCATTTATTTTAATCTAAGTCACAGAAATACATAAAAAATATTAAATATAATATTAAAATATAATAGATATCTGGAACAAACTATATTCTTATTGGTAATGATATGTAGTGACGGATCTTTTTGGGAGGAAAGGGAGATCGTGGTCCCCTAAAGTTTTGTAACTCTCATGTAATTTGTGATTTTGGCTCCCCCAAATTTAATCAACATTTAATATATTTACTTGTATATTTACAATTCTATCCTCTCAGTCCCTCCTTAGTTTTGTAACTCTCATATAATTTATGATTTTGTGTCCCTCAAATTTAATGATCATTTAATACATTTAAGTATATATCTATAATTTTATCATTTCATCTTCTTTCTTTCTTTTATATTTATTTATTATTTTATTAATAATATATTATTTGGCCCCTTAAGATCAATGGTCAAAATCCATCACTCATGATATGAAAAATACATGCAGATTAAGTGGTACAAGTAAGGATTCGGTGGTTCATTTAGGTATCCAATTCTTTAGTTTTAATGACGGTAAGAGGGGTTAGGTTTGATTTGATCTTAATTTGTCTAAAAAATTTATCAGTTTTAAAAAAAATTATATATTAAAATAAAAATAAAGAAATTATAATTAAAAATATTATATTTTTTTATATTATTAAAATATGTATATATATTATAATATCATAATTTAAATTATAAAAATAATTAATTATTAATTATAATTAGTTATTTTAATAAATAAATCTAATATTTTTTTAATTTACTAATAAAAATATTAAATAATAAACAATAACTTAAAAGTTATTTATATAATTAAAAATATATTTTAAAAATATATATAAAAAAGTTTTATATAAAAAAAATGATTTGTGGGATAAGATTATCTTAATTATGACAGACTAACTTGTACCGTTTCATTTTGTGTTAACTAATTTGTCATTCTAATTTTAAAATAAGAAAGATTCATGTACTTTCATAATTGTGAATTTCTCAAGAATGCAAGTGTGGATTAACTTGATATGTTGATTTGTTTTGCATAATAGTTGCACAGAATTGGTTCCGCTTATAAGTTTGCACCATATTTGTTCTGATTTCAACTGAAGTTGTGGGTTAACCCATTTAAAATCCTTGTTCCATTTACAATTTCAAATTGGTAATGCCTATTATTTCATTTATTTCGTACTCGCTATTCTGGTTATTCTAAAGTGTTTAATTTCATTCCTCTAGTTTGTATTTTATTATTTTCTCATTCTCGTTCTAAATCATTCTATTCAAATGTCATTATCAGTATTTTTTTTTTTTGGCTTTTTATCCATTCTCTCAATGCTTGTCTTCCTAGTTGTTTGATACATTAGCACATATTATACAAAATTGAAATCAAATATTCCTACTCTAAATATATTATTATATTGATATAAAAATATAACAATATTATTTTATGGTTAAATCCCAGTTAAATATTTAAATTTTGAATTTATTTTTCCATGGGTTCATTGATCGGTGCGTATTTAAAAACTATGGAATTATCTAGGAGAAACTTGTCTTATTATTACAACAGATAACCCAAAGTATGGAGTAAGACGAATTTGGTAGGTAGAAAGAGTTTTCTAGAAAAATCTATAACTGGCATGAATGCAAAGTCAGCAATCATTCTTGGTCATTCGGAGGAGATCAAACAGAGGCCGGTACAAAGACAGTGGGAAGAACTTGGTAAGTAGGCCACAAATTACTTTAAGCTGCAACTTCTCTTTGCTATGGTTTTCTGAATACGTGGTATAAATGCTATTCCCACTATACACTGGTTATACATCTCTCCCAAATGGCAATCTGTGGCACATTTTCGATATAGTCTGATGCCTTGAGGTAGTATAAGATGAATGAAATGTTTAAAATCCCTCCAAATTTAGTAATTTGGAACAAATTAAGATGGATGAAAAATTAAGAACAAATCAAAGTCGACATAAAAATTATGCTGAGAAGAAAATGTGACTGATAGACAAATGACATCTAAAAAGAGGTGAATAGATGCACAAATTAAATTATATGTCAAATTAAAAATTTATTTAAGATGTCCAATAATTTGTTAATTCAATTTTAATTATCAGATAAAATACAGATAAAGCGGAAGCGATATAACCAGATAGATAAAGGGAAGGAAAGAAGTAGATGTTATCACAGAGGTATAAGGAAGAGAAGAGCACACAGTAATTTATATTGGTTCGGGTATAACCAGCCCTATATCCAGTTCTCAGTCACCTCTAACACAAGAGTGACCCCAATTCACTATCTTTAAAATTCAGTTTACAAATTACAATCAACTCAACAGAGGAACCAGTAAAGAGTAAACTAATTAAAAAGACAATCACCTCCTTAGAAATCCACTAAGGATGAACACCTCCCTAGAATCTCACTAGGGATGAACACCTCCTTTGAACAAATCAAAGGATGAAAAACACCTTCTTTGTAAACTAATTAAAAAGACAATCACCTCCTTAGAAATCCACTAAGGATGAACACCTCCCTAGAATCTCACTAGGGATGAACACCTCCTTTGAACAAATCAAAGGATGAAAAACACCTTCTTTGCAACCAACACACAAAGGATTAACACCTCCCCGAACAAATCAAAGGGATGAAAACACCTCCTTAGAATCTCACTAAGGATGGACACCTCCCCGAACAAATCAAATGGATGAAAATACCTTCTTAGAATCCCACTAAGGATGAACACCTCCCTTGAACAAATCAAGGGATGAGCAAATCCTGGCAGTAAAAACTCTAAACACAAAAATACACTGCTTAAGACATAGTAAAAACTCTAAAAAAGGATTTAACAACAATCACTTAAACCCTAAACAGGGAATTTAACATCAACTTCCTAAGCCCTAAAAAGGATAAAGGTAATAAAATAAGAACAGTCACACCTGGGTAATGGAGACAACAAACTGTAGAAGCCTATAGAATCATAACTCCAAGAACACAGTGTGATTACGATGAAAGCGCAGAAAGCAGTATGAAAAAGTTTTATTAGAAAACCTAAAAGTGTTTTGTTGCCTTGCTCAGAATTCTTTTCTCAAAACTAATTGAATGTGAATTGAATTTTCGAATTCTGTAATTGTGTGTTTTTTATTTTTCATCAAAACTCATTTAAATACGAAAATAACATCAGAAAATAGTTGTTAGTCATTAATACTTTTGTAGAGAAAAATCAGGATGTATTCAAAAACATGTATTCTTCAAAACGGATATATTTTTCAAATTTGAACTGTCATAATCGATTATGTTACCAGTATATTCAATTATGATAGAGAGAAAATCGTTTTTCCATTTCTGATGCATCATAATCGATTATGACAGTGAAAAATGTCACGTTACGAAATTTTATCACACTTGTGTTTTTGAGGCTTATGCATAATACCACTTCATCAACTTGTACCTCCATATCCAGTATTCTAAGACTCTATCTAGTCTTCAGGAATCATCTTGGGCTTGCTTGAATCTTGAATGTTGTTGACTTGAATCATCATCAAAATCATCTCTTGAGAATGTAGGGACATGTTTCACATTGTCATCAATCTCCCCCTCATTGCTTTCAATCTCCCCTTTTTGATGATGATCAAGGAAACTCCTGAAATGAATTAAAATGTTTGACTCTATATAGTCAGCTGAAGATTAGCACAGATTTGCACAGTATAGTGTAACACAGATTAGCCCAGATTAGCACAATATATTTAAACTCCCCCTAGATATGTTAATAACAAATTTCATACAGATTTTAGGAATAAATTTTTCCTAACTCATCTGAGCAAAACTTCTCCTAACTCATCAGAATTAGGAATAAACTTCATACAGATTTTAATTCATCA